TACGTCTGGATGTGGTGTTCAGAGCACCTATCTCCTGTTTTATCCTTTTCATTGCATCCTCTTCTCCCATGTTTTCCTTTTTGCCTTCTTACCCACAAATACTAGAATAAATATGCAATATTTAGGCTTAATCAGTTGATTTTTGAGGAAAACAAACAAAGTGCACTTTCTCCTGCAAAACAAACAAAACTGCCAAGGATCAGGGTTGGCCGACCGCAGGCACTCTTAAGCTAAAGTCAATAAAGGCTCTAAAGTTAAGCAAGCAAATAGGGGAGAAGGAAGTGTGTACCTTTAACACTTAAGTTTATTCGGTATTTATACGATCATATCGCCAAACTAATCGAGCTTAGAGTCCTGGTAGGAATAAGGTGGCACGCCCCGAACCTAGCGACATTCTCATGAGTCTAGTTTGTAGTCCAATTTGACTTTCAATCTTATTCGTCGGTTTTATTGGTCTCTTGTTTCCTATGTGCACCTTTGTCAATGCTCAGGCCTCATCCCATCAACCGCCTCAAGTTTCTAGGGAGAACCTGGTTGTCTTATTCCATTCGGATAGGTCTGCATAACTTTTACATGAAGTTAGACTCTAATTCAATTTTGTTCTGATAGTATTTCTTTATGAGCATACTTCTTTAGGATCTGCTACACACACACTTCACTTCTCGGGAATGTTCATTTACTGAGCAGATCAATTATTGACTTCTATTGTACTCGGGTTTTTCCCAATCTGCTCGACTTAACCCAAATCTATTCGACCAAGATAAAATTGCTCGGTCAAGTAGAGTCACTTCAACCAGCTCCTTTTAGCATGTGCTAATTGCCACGTGTTTAGTTTTAGTTGTCAATCATAGTTTAGAAACTCTGAACCCCTTCAATGAACAATTTTGTTCCATTCAAAAAAATTGATTCGCAGACTTAAATTGTAGCATGTCGCCTGCTTAAATAGTTATTTACTATCACTTCATATCCGATCTCTAACCCAACCAAAGTATCCACATACAAATCCTTGCATATCATTTGAGTCATACTGATATTGTGGACAGATGAGGATCAACTCAAAGACAGATGATGACAAAAAAAAGGGTCCAAGGACCATAAAAAGTTTAAGTACATCACCAAATAAATAAATCGGCACTTGTTGACCTTAAACCTTTGATTGAGTCATCATCAGCTAAAGGTTTACAATACTAATTGCAGAAGGAGGTAGGTAAGGGGCTCATTGGCCCTTCCAACGCGATGAGCTGGTGCCTCTCACTTAAGGGGCCCCCCAAACACTTTTGTCTGATGGCCTAACTTCACCATACAGTTTCAATTTTAAATGGGTTGTCTCCAAGAGTTGAAAGCATAGTGGACTTAGGAGTTCCGTGACAAAAGTGGCTATTGGAGCCTTCAAAAAGTGCAAGCTAAGGGCCAAAAATTCAGTGGAAATCTATGTTGAATCCACAGCAAAATGCTTCTAAGTGTTGTTTCAGTTAAATTTATTTTCATTGGCATGTTAGATTCTGTTGTTGATAAATGAAATTTAGTGGGAATATATGTTGAACTCATGATCTGCTCGTATCAAGGAACGAAAATGTGTCAAATTTGAGGATTTTATGTATTAGAATATCCCTCATNGCAAAACAAACAAAACTGCCAAGGATCAGGGTTGGCCGACCGCAGGCACTCTTAAGCTAAAGTCAATAAAGGCTCTAAAGTTAAGCAAGCAAATAGGGGAGAAGGAAGTGTGTACCTTTAACACTTAAGTTTATTCGGTATTTATACGATCATATCGCCAAACTAATCGAGCTTAGAGTCCTGGTAGGAATAAGGTGGCACGCCCCGAACCTAGCGACATTCTCATGAGTCTAGTTTGTAGTCCAATTTGACTTTCAATCTTATTCGTCGGTTTTATTGGTCTCTTGTTTCCTATGTGCACCTTTGTCAATGCTCAGGCCTCATCCCATCAACCGCCTCAAGTTTCTAGGGAGAACCTGGTTGTCTTATTCCATTCGGATAGGTCTGCATAACTTTTACATGAAGTTAGACTCTAATTCAATTTTGTTCTGATAGTATTTCTTTATGAGCATACTTCTTTAGGATCTGCTACACACACACTTCACTTCTCGGGAATGTTCATTTACTGAGCAGATCAATTATTGACTTCTATTGTACTCGGGTTTTTCCCAATCTGCTCGACTTAACCCAAATCTATTCGACCAAGATAAAATTGCTCGGTCAAGTAGAGTCACTTCAACCAGCTCCTTTTAGCATGTGCTAATTGCCACGTGTTTAGTTTTAGTTGTCAATCATAGTTTAGAAACTCTGAACCCCTTCAATGAACAATTTTGTTCCATTCAAAAAAATTGATTCGCAGACTTAAATTGTAGCATGTCGCCTGCTTAAATAGTTATTTACTATCACTTCATATCCGATCTCTAACCCAACCAAAGTATCCACATACAAATCCTTGCATATCATTTGAGTCATACTGATATTGTGGACAGATGAGGATCAACTCAAAGACAGATGATGACAAAAAAAAGGGTCCAAGGACCATAAAAAGTTTAAGTACATCACCAAATAAATAAATCGGCACTTGTTGACCTTAAACCTTTGATTGAGTCATCATCAGCTAAAGGTTTACAATACTAATTGCAGAAGGAGGTAGGTAAGGGGCTCATTGGCCCTTCCAACGCGATGAGCTGGTGCCTCTCACTTAAGGGGCCCCCCAAACACTTTTGTCTGATGGCCTAACTTCACCATACAGTTTCAATTTTAAATGGGTTGTCTCCAAGAGTTGAAAGCATAGTGGACTTAGGAGTTCCGTGACAAAAGTGGCTATTGGAGCCTTCAAAAAGTGCAAGCTAAGGGCCAAAAATTCAGTGGAAATCTATGTTGAATCCACAGCAAAATGCTTCTAAGTGTTGTTTCAGTTAAATTTATTTTCATTGGCATGTTAGATTCTGTTGTTGATAAATGAAATTTAGTGGGAATATATGTTGAACTCATGATCTGCTCGTATCAAGGAACGAAAATGTGTCAAATTTGAGGATTTTATGTATTAGAATATCCCTCATAAATTGTTGTATGAGACTTGTGGATTTCTCCATTCATTAGCTATTTTTTTTTTTAGTTCGACGCTTTATTGTATTATTTTTAGAGGCCCTGGGTGAAACTCTCTACTTCAATTTTATTTTAGGACTTCATGCCATAAGCGCACATTGTTATACTTTTGATTTTGCCTTTTGGTTTTTTTGTCTGTCTCTCCATGCTCGAGGAGTGTTAACGCTTACTCCACGTCCAGTAAGAAAAACTCCAAAACTAATATATACACTTTACTTAGAACCTTATTATTCATTGTCAATTTACTTAGAATTGAATACTTTAGCATAATCTCACCAAAATATTTACTAATGTAACAATGTTATTTTAGAAGGTGCATATGTAGAAACCTTATTATTATTATTTTTTTTTATAAAAAGCACATGTGAAAACTCTATATGGTCCTCCCTTCTTTCTATCCATATTTTCTCTAGGAATCTTTGTTAAAATTTCCTAAATAGTATATCAATTACCGTGTAATTGTATAAGATAATAATTATGCATAGTTGAGCACCATGTTTTAATCTCGTTCACATTGAATTATTCCAAAAAATATTACTGCGTAGCCTTTAGCGACATAACGCCAAGATGTCTCCTTATTGTTCTTAATGAAAACACATTTGTTATTTGGGGTTTTGCTTTTCCATACATGTGTATGGTTCAGTGTGCATTTTTTTTTATGCTGGGCTTTGTAGACTGCATTTGGAAGCATAGTTCTCCTAATTTTAATTGTTTGGCTATTGGACCTCTCTATTTCTTTTTCTTTTTATTATGTTTTGAGCCTAAAAACTATGTTTATCATATGTTTCATTAGTTTGTCCTTTTGGGACTATTATAATTTTTTCAAATCCGATTAATTTGTTAATCCAAAACTAAAGAATAAGTAAATATGACAAGACGACCTTTAAAATAAATAACACAAGATCCTTTTATAGAAGTTCTCAAATGGGGCCATTGAATAAATGATGTTTTTATTGTAATCGATTAGGAAAATACTATTTGTACCTAATTCAGTGATCTTATTTGTTGATACGATGATCATAGTCATTGAATTAATAGTAAGGTTCACTGTCAATTTAATAACAGAAAATGATAAGGTCAACAAATAAAATTTATATAGCATTTCTCTATTGATTAAGAGAAAGGGTGTAAAATATTAGAAATAAATATTTGTATTACAAATTCTATCCATTAAATCTTGGATGTCTCTATAACGACCTACAAAATTATTTGATAGCGGTTTTGAGAGTAATGTTTTCCTTCTTTTTTTCCTTTTTTTACTTTTTTAGGTACCTATTATCAATTTTTTAAACTTTTTTTAGTATAGCTTATTATCTTCTTTCAATTTTATCTTTTTATTTTAGTGCATAACATAAATAATGCAATTACGTAACTTATATGCATCTATGTTGATCGAATATATTTCATTATTTTTAAAAAAATACATTAAAAAGGTACAAAATATGTGTTTGTCATAATAGAGAGGGAATGCCATTTTTTGGAGATTTTTTGTGTTATTTTATTAAACCTTAGAAGAAAAAGGATCTATTAAAACTGACAAAAAAGAAATCATATATAACTAATTAAAAGAGTAATATGCTGGTGAATGTTTGATTTAGTGTGTAAAAACACAATTTTTTGGGCTCAATATATTGATTCGAGCCTTTATAATTATCATAGTTTAGTGGAACTAAATCTATACTTCAAAGCCCAGAAGAAAAGATCAAACTTTAGCTTTGGGCTCGATATAAATATGGTGAATTCTACATGCTCTCCACGAATATGTGAAGGAGGATATCTATGTATCTATTTATGCACTGAAAAAAAAAAAGTTATATAATTGGTTTTTTCTATTTACATTTTCTAATTCAGACAAAGGCTTTTTTGGTGCTGACTGACTCACTCAAACAGTCTCATATCTTAGGGTTTAAATAGTATGCCCCCCTCTCTGTGTGCCAGAGCAGGGTCTCTCAATCTTCTTTGCCAAGAAATAATTTCCCTATCTTCTATGTCTCGTTTCTTGATATCTTCGGCTGATTCTGCAACTGGGTTTTTTCCACAATTCCGCAGAAATGCTTCCATTCAAATCAATCAAGAACAAAATGTCCAAGTTTTCTTGCTAGCTCATTTCACAAACAATTCTCTCTCCTGACTAATGGGATGCACCAAAATAGCTCTAACAAGCAAGCCCAGTTCAAGAATTGCCAAACTATGCCATCCAAAGTTGTCTCTCTGGTCATCCCCAACCAACCGACCTGGTTTACTCTTCTTCTAATTTAGTGGCAAACTACTTGTGTTCAATCCTTTGTGAGAGTTCTCTGAAAGATGGAATTTTCGAATTCTTTCAATGGGTTTTCTGGGACTTATGGATTTGAAGGTATAATAAGAGGTGGGTCATCGTCGTCTTCATCGTTGGTTTTGGATGGTGAGAAAGGAGAGCTTGTGAGGGCTCTGGTGAAACCAGGGCAAAAAGAGGTCAAAGCAGAGAAAGTGTTGGCGGCTTTGAGGAACCACAGTGATGCTGAGAGGAGACGGAGAGAGAGGATTAATGGTCATTTGGCTAAGCTTCGGAGCCTAATTCCTGGCACTAATAAGGTAATTGTTGTTTGGTTGAATTTGTCTGAATTTTCCCTTTGTGTACTTCTTCAATTTTTTTTTTTTTTTGAACTTAGGAATGAAATTGTGTGTGAATCAAGATGTGTTTAATATTGTTTTGTACTTGTCAACAGGAGTGAATTTATTTCCACCAAGTATTATAGTTTGTCTCATTTGTATTTGATAAAAAGTTCTGAATTGCCTATGGCAAATGACGACTAGTATCTTTTACAAAGATTTGCTTTTGGCATATATGCTTTGAACTTATTTTGCAATTACGTGATGACGAAGTGGCTTACCACATTGCTTAATGATTAATTTGTCTTTGAAATAAAATACAAGTTAAGTATGCTAAAAAAATATCGCTATTCTAACTGGTAGGTGCTATGCCGTCTGATTTTTTCTTTTAAGGGGGGCCATTTTATTCTTAAGGAAATGGTGAAGATGAAAATCTCATGATTGCAGATTATCTGGAAATAGCTATGACTTGAGACTATAATTGCACAATGAAATTTCCTAATGAATTGATTAGTTATGGTTGTTTTCAAAGAATTCTTAATGAGTAGAATTTTGCTTGTGGATGTAATGTGAAGGGAAACAGGAATCATTTTATCCATTATAGTTGAGGAAATGAGGATGTTTAAACATTTAGTATATGTGATATTAAACACATTGGATATTGTGGAAAAGAAGCCAAATCTGAATGCGTGTTTCCTAAAATTATCGTGGTGTTAGTATACTATTAAAGATTCCTCATGAACCAGTGGGTGTAGATAAGAAATCGTATTGTGGATTCCCATCATTGAAAGTCCTTGTGTTTTCTGGACCTATTTTTTGTTTTTCCATAACATGAATGCCCAAGTATTCATTCAAGTTTCTTCCATGTCTAGGATGTGGCTTACAGGGTAAAACAATATCAACATAAACTAGTTTTTCTTGTTCACTTAACTGGTGATGATGTAATTGACTGGCAGTGTCATGGAACCTACTTTCATGACAGTTGTAAGAATTTTCTACTTGTGTCAGGATGTTGAAATGTAACTCAATTGCAATTTAAATACACAGATGGACAAAGCAGCATTGCTTGCTGAAGTTATCAATCACCTGAAGGTACTCAGAAAGAATGCAGCAGAAGATGCTAAAGGTATCCTCATACCAACGGACATCGATGAAGTAAGAGTTGAACAACAAGCAGATGGAGCTTCTTATTCTATCAAGGCATCCTTATGTTGTGATTATAAACATGAGATTCTTTCTGACTTAAAACAAGCTCTTGAAAACCTTCATCTGAAAACAGTGAAGGCAGAAATTGCAACTTTGGGAGGTAGAATGGTGAATGCTTTTGTAATAACTGGCAGCAAAGAAGAAAACATCAAAGACGCTGAAGGATGCCAGCTTCTTGCAAGCTCAGTTCATCAGGCTCTAAAGTCTGTACTTGATAAATTTTATGCATCACAGGAGTTCTCTTCAAGGAATACACTTTCAAACAAGAGGCGTAGAGTTTCTTTTTTTAATTCTTTGAGCTCATCTTCATTAGAAGATTTCTGGTGAGAAAGGTGATTCTAATGATAGATTACATGTTTCTTTATTTAGTTTTTCTATGCTCATATGCTTTGGTGTACAAAGTTGATAGATGGATCAATGGCATATATGTTTTCTGCTTTATCAACAGAAGAATATGAATGCTTGTATCATATGCCTGCTTTTGTTTATGGTTTAATGTGTTTCAGTCGCAGAAATATGTATTACCTATAGTGTAGAAATTCTGTACTAATGTAATTTTAAGATTGAAAGTTCCTTCGGTCCTCTGATTCTACTTGTGGAATTTTTTGGAATTTTCATCGAAAACACCTTTCAATTCACCTATTTATAGATGTTGAACCATCTCCGTACTTAGTTTGGTAAGTAGTCACTACAAAAAAATGTTGTGTAAGTAGTGGAACAATATCATGGGCGGAGCTAGAAATTGGCCTAAAGAGGGGCAAAATGTAACTAGAAAAAATTCACCAACTAATACAAAGAAAATTTTAAGTTCAGCCACGAAAACTTATATTAAAATTCAAGACTTAATTAATAGATGAAACAAGAAAACTAGTTTTTATTTAGACTCAGTTTATGATAATTCCAAAGAAAGACTGTTGGCAGCAGGTGGAGACATTTGCCCCCTGGTCCTAATGTGGCTCCTCCACTACAAAATATATACTTGTCATTGGAGGCAAATTCTGAATGTGTGGTATGTTACTTTTTTATTTGCTGTCTCAAGAGTGGGAAAACCCAGAAGGGTGTCACAATGGGACAATGCAAGGTCAAAATTTTTTGAATTCTTAATTTTGTAATTGCTTGATGTTAGCACAACTGCACAAGCACATGATGAATAAATTATAGAAAAATGCAAGAGATGTGACAAGAGGTACTAGTTTTTGTGATGATAATGAAGAGGTCATTTGATGTGCTTATATAATACATGCATTCCAGTTTCATAAGGGTCATTGTCTACTGCAGTGGTAGAATGCTTGACCTATCTAATAATGATGGCTTATTTGCAATTTCAGTTTCACGTGATATACAAAATTTACATTATATCACTCTTACATTGCTTACTATGAAAGAAATACCAAAAAGAAAAAAAATTAAAATCCCAACAGTGTCAAAATGTACAACTTTTTGGTGATGAATTGTGATTAGTTTCACATAACCTTTATTATAACATTAAACTAGTTTATGCTACAAAATGGAAACTTGCTTAACAGAGGAGTAGGCCAGAGAACTGGAACAAGATGAGTTAGTGCAATCCCATTTGAAAATTCAAATAGCCCCTTGAACCTGTATTAAAAACGTATAACCAAGTGTTTGTAATTCTGTTCCGTTATCCCTGAACATATCAATAATGCTTGTGTCAAAATCAAATACCTAATACCTACTCTTTGACAAAAAAGTAATTGCAAAAACAGGTATCTGTAATAATGCCTACAAAAATCAGCAATCTGATTTAAATATATGCGCTAGACTGCTGCTTATGGTAGTGCATAGTAATGCAAACATAAAGTTGGGGGCATTAGTGCATCATCTATGACGTTAAGATGATTCTACCTTTTGCATGCCCATAAAAGATGCATAACTATCATACATTAGTCCTTTATTATTATGAATATGATATCTCGTTTACCAGTGATGCACCAATTCAATCAATAAGGTTTGTCTAAATGGTCTAAATAATTAGGTTGTTTTTTATTTCTCTTAATTTATGTATCTAACCAGAGTAGCAGATTATTTTTAAGGATTGGCACCAATATCATTAGAAAAATCTTTGGATATTGACTTCCAACCGTCCAAAGGTAACTAAGCTTTCTTGCCAACGAAATACTGGTTACAAAAAGGCAATTATGAGTTTTATTTCTTTTCTTTGTTTTTCGTTATCACTATTTTCCAATACGATTTAAGTTGCTTGTTTGCTATTTCCCCAGTACATGATGTAATCGGTGATAAAAAAATTTTAGTTTATAGTTTTGTTTTATATGCGTGTTGTCCATGTCATGGAAATTGAATAAGATCTCTGTGAATTGAAAAGTTAACTGTTTTTAGGTCATATAGATGGCTCTCTTAAAATTAAATAAAATAAATTACTACTATTAAATACTGAGATGTATAAGTGGAAGTGCAAGTGGGGGGCAGGAGCAGATCTTGTCCTATGGACGGGAAGAGGAGTAGAGGAAAGATGCTTAACAATGTACAAAATACCCAAAACTACTTCAAAGTAAACCGCAACCATACTAAAATAACCCCTTGATAAGTTCCTCTATAGTATATGCACACTTCCTGGGATAATAATTCGAATTAGTGTTACTCAAATGAGAAAAATACCATATCTCTTCGAGAACTAGTATTTCTCCACCACTCAGAAATTATATAAGCAAGCGAATTATGTTGCCTGGTTCCATGCTGCTGCCTCCTTTGACTAGACTTTTTTTTTTTTTGTTGGGAGGGGGGAGGGGGAGGGGGAGGAGGAGGGGGAGGGACNTCTTCCCCAGCAATTCCTACAAAAGCTCCATCGTTCACCACCATTTCATTCTCCTCCACCTAATGATTATGTAAGCATAACAAAAGAATTCAGAACCCTTGTTAGGGTCTGAAATATTGAGGGATTGATATAAGAAGACGTACAGATGTTTCCTTGTGTTTCCTCATGACTTCAGTCCCTTCACTTTCCATTTTTGAAAAATAAAGACTGGAAAAACATTACAAAGGTTCAGGACGTCTTATTTTACAAATGAGAAGTCATTGAAAGATGATATCAAGAGATGGGAGGAGATAAGGGGAAGAGAGAGGAACGGTCAAATCAGTTGGTCGTGTAATGTATGCAGAAGTTTGTGCATTCTATTTTAGATACATAAAATTTGCAATGCATCCGTATGTTAAATATAGATTGTGTTTTCCTTTTCCTGGCAATGCACTTTTGGGACTGATTGAAATCATATAACAACATGGTCATGTCAAGATGCTAGTCCATGGTGGATAAACAAAAACACAGGCCGAAAATTCTAATGAGTCCTTTTAGCAAACTGTACAGGAAAATAACTGTCATCCACTTTGAATACAATATGGATTATGGAAGTCTCAAATAAAAAAAATATGGGTTAAAAGTTAGTGTGTTCCACTGTCCAAACAGAACAAGCTATTAATTTATGCTTGCAAAACAATGAAACATTTTACTGAGTAATATTACCTAGACAAAAGTTGTATGCAAGTTAGCATACAAATTGACTACACTCACTATTCTTGTTTTATGTAAAAACAAAGGACCATAGATGTGGCACCTACAAAAAAGCCACTGCCGCATCATTTTCATGTATGGAATGCTTGTTACAAATTATTGTGAATTTGAATTCTGTTTCAGCATTATAATACCTTGCAGACTCAATATTGCAATCATCTTGCATGAAGAGGACCCTCAATAACCAGTATCTCCAGAATTCAACACAAGGTATCCCAAATAACCTTAAATTGCACATGTGCGCACAGGCAAATAGACAGAGGAGATAATGTTTGTTTTAGATCGAGCTTGAACAAAGAGCTCATTGTTCTTATACACCGTGATTCCCGCCTATCACATTACAAATATTCTGAAGTGCTTCACAAATTGTCCAGTAATTTCGCAACAAAAATTTTACAGCAAACTTAAACCTTATTATCCATTATAAAAACTCAAATTGATGATAAGAGGCAATGATGATGAGGATGAGTTTGTGTGTTTGTTGGGGGGGGGGGGGGAGGAGGAGGGGGAGGGACCTCCTTTGACTAGACTAAAAGCAGCAATTTGCTAGTCTAATGAAGGAGAATTAGATGCTCTTAATCTTACCATGATTTTATTCTCGGCTCGAATACCTTTGTGCGAGACCTGTCTCCATTTTCCTAATGCCATTATATCCGGATGACACATCCTGAAAACCTGGAACAAAGCTTTTTGAGTGTAGGCAAGTATGAGGATACGTATGTACCATCACATCTTGCAGTCATAACTACTCTCAGGACTTGAGACATGCTGGCCCTAAGATTGGAAGTTAGATTACCCTTGGCAGGTAAAATTATCCCTTGCCAGGTCAAACTATTTAAACTCCAATAATAATGGTAACAGGCAGAGTAGTACAGCCCATATTCATCTTCTAGAACCCCAAAAAGTTGAGAATTCCTAGTGAAGAAAACCATTGGAATGCCGAGAGGTGAAGCAACTACCGTGTTATTAATGTTCTGCTAATTCTCCAGAAAAAATACTTTCTGAATCTGAAAATACTTTGCAATTTTTCCTTTTGAGGTTATCTTGTTTGGAATTAATGGAAGATATCCACATAGGATGTACACTAAAAGATGAAGGCTTGAACTACTCGGGGTAGCTAAGATTACCAAATTAGTCACTCATCATCTGTAACAAAAATTTGCAGTCATGGAAGTATTGTAGAAGGCCATATCTGATTGCCTAGCGTTGTGTGAGAATCCTCTACTGAACCCATAGGAACTAGGAGCAAAATAGTAGTAGTCCCAACCAATACGGATTCTCTCTGAGGATATAAAGCATAAAAACCCACTCTTTTTTTTGCTTCCTATTCTGTACATTTCTTTTTCTTTTTCTCTTTGCTTATCTATGACTTGAACATACAGTGATAAACTGGCAAAAGATGTTACTTTCCTTGTGATCTGTTTTGCATCAAGTCCATAGTCTAAAAAGTAGGACACTGGAGATCAAAGATTAGAAATGTTTGCTGTGCCATGTCTCTGAAAAAATATTTAAGCATATCAACAGGAAAATGCATATAACATAAAACAGATGTAATACTTACTAAGAGAAAAAAATAAACAGAATAAACTCTTACAAAAGCAGAGATTCTATTCCCCGGAACATATTTCAATGAGAAACACAGGCACATGATCACATATATTGGTCTAAGTACTTGTGTTCAACTAAGATCATGATACTGTTGGTCCTAAAGTTGGATGCCTCTGTAATCCTTTTCTCTATCCTATCTGATTAGCACCGTCTTATTCCGTGATCCAAAAATTAAAACATACTAGCACAGGCGCACATGCACCTACAATCTTGGTCCTACTTGTCCAACAATGATCCAATTATAGACTGGGGAGAATGGAGTACTTAGTTTCCCAGCATTTTACCATATGTATTCCCTACTTGTGATATATGCCTTTGCATGAGTACAGTAGCTCCAAATCTAGCCGAGTTTTTCTCCTATAAAACTTCTTTTGTCTGTAAGTGGACATTTGAGAACCAATACTGTAAGTTGTTTTTAGTGTAATTATCGTTGAGTTCTATCTGATTTTGATACATGTCCGGAAAAGCACCGCTGCTGCCACCACTGCACCTTGCTGCCAAGCTCGTCTAACACGAAACAACATTTTTCAGCCCCTACCAACTCGATTGTGTTATTATTATCATTTGCCACATCCATACCAAGCCAATTGGCATTGATGTGCACCTCATCTACTAGCTTATGTTGAATATGTACCCCCCACCATGCCTTCTTACTCTCAGGAGAAACAAGTCATGTAAAGACTTGATAGTCCAATTGTATCTCTGATCTAGTCTGCCACATAAATTTTGTAAATGCTCGGACGTGGTCCTGAGATCTGGTGCAAATGATTTCTTTCAGCTATTCAAAGCTTTTGCAACTTTGCTTTCCTATTTATGAGGAGATAAGATGCAAGGAGAAATCATTGCATTTACTTACCCATTAGCACCAGTCAAGGAGATTCATTTTATCAAAAAATTCTGTTTTGAAGATGGTCATTGATTACAGCAACAAGTCTTCCCGACATTTATTCGATAGTTCAAAACTATTATTTGTTACTGAAGTGCAAAGGTGTTTTGAAGATGGTCATTGAGTACAGCAACAATTCTTCAGACATTTATTCGATAGTTCAAAACTATTATTTGTTACTGAAGTGCAAAGGTGATTAAGTGATGATGAAACTATAGATACTTGAAGTAACACGCTGGAAATAGTGGCAAGGAAAGGAGAGAGCATGTCCAACATTGAGCTTTGACAAATTCAGCATCCAGTTCCGGAGTAAATAAATTGATTGATCCTTGATTCTAGTTATCCAGAGAGTTGAGAAGAGCAGGGTTGAGCCCAACTCCTTCCAACGTACCCTTTCTCAGCCACTGTTCTGAATCTAGGAATTTGGCTTGTTGAAAACTAAAAATCTAAAGTGATTGGGTGTTTAAAGCTTTTTCATTTGGGAGTTAGCATGAAATAAAATAAACTGAGAGAATATTACCTAGCAACGAAAAATGTAAAGCAAAATGCTAAAGAATTGTAGTAAAATAGGTATGGTCAGGTGATTGACAATGATAGCCAACTCAAACAACAATATATCGGAGTCTGTTACCAAGCACACGCACGCTTACATACACACACACACACGTATTATAGGTATATATATCACATGAATCTAAGGTTAAGTCTAGCAGCCCTCAGCTTAAAAAGCTGATGGAAAATCAATCTTGAGAATGTAAAGTTTTTAAACTGTGCCAAGCAGCAAGTAGCTAGTCAAAACAGAGCATCTTTTGAAAATTGCAATATTACAAAAGGTAATTGGTAGAATTATAGCCATTTGTATGGTGATCTATCACAACATGAAAGAAGAAGAAAAAGATAAAGATAACAATAAAAGGCATCAAGAAACAGACAAATCCTGAGTCGATAAAAAGCTAAATTGGCTGGAAATCCCTCTAAGCTGTGCTTCTGTAAGATCTGCACCATAGAATCAGAAAACAAACAAACCTGTACCCAAAGATGAAAACAAGCATCACAACTAAGTTGCTCCATTTTTGTGACTCTTTCAAACCTAGNATTGGCATTGATGTGCACCTCATCTACTAGCTTATGTTGAATATGTACCCCCCACCATGCCTTCTTACTCTCAGGAGAAACAAGTCATGTAAAGACTTGATAGTCCAATTGTATCTCTGATCTAGTCTGCCACATAAATTTTGTAAATGCTCGGACGTGGTCCTGAGATCTGGTGCAAATGATTTCTTTCAGCTATTCAAAGCTTTTGCAACTTTGCTTTCCTATTTATGAGGAGATAAGATGCAAGGAGAAATCATTGCATTTACTTACCCATTAGCACCAGTCAAGGAGATTCATTTTATCAAAAAATTCTGTTTTGAAGATGGTCATTGATTACAGCAACAAGTCTTCCCGACATTTATTCGATAGTTCAAAACTATTATTTGTTACTGAAGTGCAAAGGTGTTTTGAAGATGGTCATTGAGTACAGCAACAATTCTTCAGACATTTATTCGATAGTTCAAAACTATTATTTGTTACTGAAGTGCAAAGGTGATTAAGTGATGATGAAACTATAGATACTTGAAGTAACACGCTGGAAATAGTGGCAAGGAAAGGAGAGAGCATGTCCAACATTGAGCTTTGACAAATTCAGCATCCAGTTCCGGAGTAAATAAATTGATTGATCCTTGATTCTAGTTATCCAGAGAGTTGAGAAGAGCAGGGTTGAGCCCAACTCCTTCCAACGTACCCTTTCTCAGCCACTGTTCTGAATCTAGGAATTTGGCTTGTTGAAAACTAAAAATCTAAAGTGATTGGGTGTTTAAAGCTTTTTCATTTGGGAGTTAGCATGAAATAAAATAAACTGAGAGAATATTACCTAGCAACGAAAAATGTAAAGCAAAATGCTAAAGAATTGTAGTAAAATAGGTATGGTCAGGTGATTGACAATGATAGCCAACTCAAACAACAATATATCGGAGTCTGTTACCAAGCACACGCACGCTTACATACACACACACACACGTATTATAGGTATATATATCACATGAATCTAAGGTTAAGTCTAGCAGCCCTCAGCTTAAAAAGCTGATGGAAAATCAATCTTGAGAATGTAAAGTTTTTAAACTGTGCCAAGCAGCAAGTAGCTAGTCAAAACAGAGCATCTTTTGAAAATTGCAATATTACAAAAGGTAATTGGTAGAATTATAGCCATTTGTATGGTGATCTATCACAACATGAAAGAAGAAGAAAAAGATAAAGATAACAATAAAAGGCATCAAGAAACAGACAAATCCTGAGTCGATAAAAAGCTAAATTGGCTGGAAATCCCTCTAAGCTGTGCTTCTGTAAGATCTGCACCATAGAATCAGAAAACAAACAAACCTGTACCCAAAGATGAAAACAAGCATCACAACTAAGTTGCTCCATTTTTGTGACTCTTTCAAACCTAGCTGCATCAAGAATTTTTCTCCATACAAGAAACACTCTCCTTCAAAGCTCTCCAAGCATCTCCATTTCCCCTTTTCCCCTCCAAACTCATTTATCATAAAACACTCAAAAGGGTACTTGAACAAACTCAAATAGTGCATGAAAAGCCAATACTTGGGTATGTCATCCTTCGATATAAAGTACCCAGAAAAGAGGAAAAATGACCCCATAATGCCAGCAGTAAACGGCATTCCCACGATAAAATTTGGCACTAATGCACTAAGGCAGGCAACGAAAGAATTTGACATCAAGACAACCACCCAAACCACCAGAGAAAAATAGAGAAATCCATCAACATCCCGCCTCAATCCGACTAGCCAGTAAACTGGGGTGGTGAAGAGTATAGCTACTGTCAAAAGGAAAGGAATGAACACAATAGTGTTGGCTATGATGTAGGAAGAGATTCTATAGGCTCCCCTTGAGGTCTCTCTCATTAAAATTCTCCTCTCTTGCAAGAAAATTGGAAGAGCTTCTGTTGTGGAAGACAGCAAGAATGCAAGGCTGATGGCAAAGAATCCAACTTGAGTTGGTAGCTTAAACCTTTTGGGGTGGTCATTGTTAGCATTCATGAATATTGTGCCCAATAGAACCCCAACAAGTACTGTTTGAATTATTCTTCCAGCAAAGAGCTGTTTGGTTCTGAAAATGTTATAGGAAAATCTCTGGCTCAGTATTAAAACTTCCTTGAATGTTGAATTTGGATAAATGATCTGCTTTTCGGCAACATTACCAAGGATAGAGCTTATTTTGACTTGAACATATTCTTGCTCAGCGTCACATTTTCCGATATCATCTTTAAATTCTCCATGCAGGCTTTCTGTGACATCAATGGCGAACTCAAGCACATTGACATGCCGAGGGATGCAATGGCCTGCGAGAGTAAGCCGCTGCTCTAGAAGATGCAATGGTCCATGGTGAAGAACAATTCCATTGGACAACAACACGACTCGGTCAAATAGCTCGAGTATTCGAAAACCAGGTTGATGGATGGTTAACACAATTGTCTTCCCTTGATTCTTAGCCATGGATTTAAGCAGCAAGACCACATGGAGAGCAGAGGACGAGTCTAGTCCAGAGGTTGGTTCATCAATCAGAAGAACAGCAGGGTCATGAACTAGATCAACACCAATTGATACCCTCCTCTTCTCACCACCTGAGATGCCTCGGGCTGATTCACTTCCAATTCTCACTCCAGCAACGTGGTCTAAGCCAAGCTCCTTCAACAGCTCTTTCACTCTTGCTTCAGCCTTGTTAAGCCCCCCATGAAGCCTGAGACGTGCACTGTACATAAGTGTTTCCTCAACAGTTAGAAGAGGAAAGAGAGCTTCATCTTGCGTGACATAACCCGACACTTTCTGAAACTTTGTATCATTCATTGGCCTGTCATTGACAAGCACTTGACCGGAGACTGTAGATGGGACGATCATTCCGGCAAGAATTTCCAGCAATGTGGTTTTTCCAGCTCCACTCGGACCAGCAATCGCTGTGATCTCTCCTGGTTTTGCTTCACAATTGACATTCTTCAAAATGTACTTGCTTGTATTTTTGATGGCCTCCTGCCAGCAAAGCCAACTGAGCACATAATATGGGGGAGCTAATTTGTACGACAGATTGTTGGTTTTAATTCTGTATTGGATTTTCCGATCACCGGAACTCGTCCTACTCACCAGTAACTCCATGGAAAGGTAGAGATTTTGGAGAAAAGACTAGGAATGTAAAGTAGGGAGGAGGATCAGCTAACACACTATACTTGTCCTTTGTATATACATGCTTGGCACAAAGTTGTAACTTCTGCTTGCATGCATGGTATAGATAACCTTAGCCTAATTTTGTGTCATAGAACATCTTTATATTGAACTTATAAAGGTTAGGAAATTAAGGGAGGTGATTATCATGTGGGCTCATTTTGGAGGGGCCTACTGTCTCGGGATACAAATCTTCTCAATTTATATTTTGCCAATTTTAATTAAATTAGATCTCCATCATCTCTCACCAAACTGACCCTTCATTTATATCTCCTAGACATAACATTGATTGTATGTTTGCTTAATAGCATAGATGAGACAACCTTGTAATTAGCCGCATTGTGTAAAAAAACTCTATTGACTATCTATAGACGAGATTTTTGTATCACATAACTGAATCCACTTTATAGAATCTACTATCTACGGATTTAGATCCACTCCATTGAAATTTATTGTCAATTTTTATCGACTTTAGCGGATTACCTTCTCTCATACAAGTTTGGGGACATTTGTCTTCTTTTTTTTTGGTATGAAACAGGCCACATGTTTTGTGCCACTATTGCATCATGGTTTTGGCTGTGCTTATTGACTGCTTCAAAAAGGATCAATAGAAACTAACATCACCAAAATGCTTTGTTCAGGTGTTGTGTGTGCTGTTGACCCAGGAAGGGGTTGTTGGTATTGGTTACCTCACCAATCGTGCCACCCCACTGACCAAGTAAAGTAGCAGTTACGTCTCTGCATCTCTGAACACTGACCAGCCGTTATATCTAATAGAGTGTTTTGGTAAAACCAATAAGTGTGGATAAGGTTGGGTTTCTAATGGGCCTCGTCTTCATTTATTTGGTGCCGGATCATGTGATGACGAAAAAATATACCTAGTAATTATCAACTAATAAGATTAGATATCAAGAAAAAATTACTAATAAGTATTACTTTTCATTCTAGCAACCATTAAGTTCTGTTATTTTTATTTTATATCAATGAAGTTTTACTCTTGATAATTTATTTGAATGAAGCCCTAAATTTCATAAATACTATATTTTGTTTCTATAATATCCTTATGTTGACAAATATTGACACATAATATACTAATTGGTGCACACGTACATTACACGTGACCTATTTTCAATATAAAACGTGCATATTAAAGTCATGGGTCACTTCATAAAATCAACATCTTCGGTAAATTTTCATTTAATCGGTCAAGAATCACAATCTATAAAAAAAACTAAAAAATTACTATATGAAGTACTATCAGAAAGAATATTTGATGCAATTACAACATTTTGAATTTCATCTTTATCCTATAGTGCAACTTCCCTAACAGTAACCACAACAATTCTTTTCAGCACTTGAAAGTCTTAAAGTGTGTCAATGAAAGTGGATAATCTTCGCCTATTTGATTCGTGGAAAGTAAGGATGTTCATAATTTTTAAATAATAAATCAACAAAATAAGACGACAACTAACGCCTAAAATATAGTGACTTGAGCTTATTTCAATGCAAAGAATGATGGAAGATTGAATATCCTAAAAATGTAATGTTGTCAATGATGACTTAGTCCAGATATAATAAATACAATGCCTTAATTGAAATTGTTTCCCATGTCGTATTTAAAATCTCTTGCCATGCAAAGATCATTGAACTTTTCTTTCCTTCTAAAATTCATGTGATGATCAAAAAACCCTTAATATAAACAATAAAAAACCTTTGTTTTTTATGTTAGATCATCTCTAACAGAAATTCAAATCTTTACCCAAATTTGCATTAAAAAAACATAAGGTAAAAGCTTTATTTGGTATAGATTTCTCCAATGGAGGAACCCAAATTTAAAGGAAGAAAAATCTAAATTTAAATAAGGATAAACCCAATTTTAAAATAGGGTAAAATATAACCATTGAATCTTTAAAGGAGGGTGTAATCTCACCATTAAAAATTTGAGTATTAAAAATGGTCTCCCTTGATTTAGATTTAAAAAAGTGTTTCTCTTCATTTGGTATGGGTAAGGATCTAACATTGGAGAATTATTTTAGACCATTTTTTTCCTAATTTGTACAAAAAAGGGGTAAGTGCATTACAAAATCTAGAGCAATGCTACTTAGACCTAATTACTAACCTAATGAATCATACGATCAATGGGTTGACTTGGTGCCCTAATAATGGTTGGGAGCTGCTACCAATCGAATGAATGTGGTAGGTTATACAGTAGTCTAAATAGTATTACTGTTGTAGCTAATGATATAACAAATGCTGCTCTAATAAATTTCACCTTGACAGATGACGACAGTAAAGAAAAACTTGAGGTACCATGAAATCGGAGATGTGGAAACAAGCAACAAAGATTGCAAAATTCTCCACATATATAATGTGCCTCCTATTAATGCTTTATCTTGAACCAACATCAACACCACCCAATCAAAACAATAAACAGAAAATTCAATATGACATGTATTGGAGAGCAAGACAGACACATGGCCATCCAAAACTGTTAACACTGAATGAGAATTCAAGCATGAAATAAATATGCCCGAAAATAGTCCATATATTAGTGCGAAAGAGACAATCAACGTAGGCAAATGCATCCAAATTGTGCGTAAGCCAACTAAAATCTATAGAATTCTACTTGAGTAGAGCTTGGCGGTTACTTGATTTGTACTTCTGTAGAGCTTGGCATGCAGCCATTTGTGTGTCAGAAAAAATGAAACAGAAGGAGATATGCTCTTGAGCAAAGATTGAAGTTCTGAAGCATCCAATCGGTAATTGTGCAAGAAAAGAAACCAATGAACAAATGCTAAACCCAGATAAACAAGCAAAAAAGGTGAACAAGAGGATGAGGCATATGTGATGCCACTAAAATCGGGGTCATTTGTCAACCCGTTGATCACCCATCAATCCAAACCTCTCATCATGTCATTGTCTCAAGGTTCTTTGAGGCCTTTGCCCAACCTCACCAAAGGTGGGCCTCTCCTTCAAGCTAGAACTCAGCTAGCATTATCTTCGTGGCATTGGATGTGATCTCCATAGCCTCTAAGATCTTATCAACTCGTTGGAATCAATGGTCGGCTATTATCGGATCCGCCCCTCCTATAAAAGTCGATGGCTTGTGTGCCTTAAAATTTTGAAGGTTACTTGAGTCTCCTTAGCCCACATTGGCACTAGCTTACAAAAAGGTGGCAGCCATCGTGCCTATAGCCTCAAAGGCTGGTGGCAGTTGATTGTTGTTCTGCCCACCTCCTCGACCATTCCGATGTACTATTCCTCTATTTTTCATCTACACACATGTCAAATAGCAATAGAACACTAACTTAGTATCCCAAGGTAGGGATCAAGTCGAAACATTGAGATTTCTTTCTTTGTCTCACTAGTAGTGCGTGTGTCACCCACTAGTAGACATCTATATCATGAACGTCCTGTTCCTTCTCTTTCTAACCCCAAAGGTTATGTTCTCTAACCCAAGTGTCTCATTTCCATATATAGTTAATCATGCATATTGTTTACATAACATGTAATACAAAATGGATGCAATGGCCTAGACCCATGCCCCGCAATCCCTAGGTAAATCGAGAACCTAGGCTCTGATACCAAACTATGATGCCCCTAAAACTGAGAGTCCTTTGTCAACCCATTGATCACACATCAATCTGCAAAAGTACCCTTGACTTTCGCATAACCCGACACCACAGCATAACATCCCCTTCACTGGGATCATAAACAACATAGCGTTTGGGCAGAGTCTCCCTTGTATCGGGTACTTCCAAACGTATAACCTGTGTATATTTTAATCATTTGACCCTTCCAAGGTCCAATATGCATTAATTTGTCCTTAATATTAATCCATTTACATCATTTGAACAAAAGGACTCAAGGCCTAAAGGCTTGACAAGATTATTTTAAATTTATGAAAATTTGAGAGGACCTACTTGTAGGTGTTCAATGTTCTATTGGTAGAAAAAATCTCTGGAATTCTTCTACCGGAAGATAATTAACGTTCTACCTATAGAAGAGCTCTCTGCAATTTTTTTACCGATAGGTAATCAATGTTCTACTGGTAGAAGAGCCCAGTTTGCCCCCAATTCAATCCTTTTTTCAACTCTAACTCTTCCAATCTCATACAACATCCACCCAAACTCATATAACATCAAATTTTAGACAAAATAAAGTTTATATGAGTTCGTTTTATAATCCTTTATACAATATTACATGTCCAAAATCAATTACATAATTGTTGTACAAAAATATAATTTAAAGCCACAACTCAGCTTTTTTCATCAATGAGAGCCCAAGTAAGAGTCATCCATCAGCGCTTATCCCGCACCTTAAATGTTGTCCCCATAAAGGGTAAGTTACGCTCAATAGGGTATCTCCTAAAAATGCTACTCCCTAACCTAGATGCATATAAAATGCTCACATGCTATTCAACAACCAAACAAGAATTCATCCAACAACATACAACTTCAAGAATGAATATCATAATATCATACCGTGTTATGAGGTAAGACTCACACAGGCAATGTAACCTGAGCCTTCACCAACTCCCATAACACATGCAATGTCATGCGTATGTATTCGGGCATTCCAAGCCTCCACCATTAATGTTATACATCCAGTGACCATTATAAATCTCGGGTCTTTCTTGGGGTGGACATTTATGGACTTCCACTAATAGGCACCCAACTGACACGACATTTATGGACTTCCACCAATGGCTCTGCCTACGCACACACTTTATGGATTCCATACCAATAGAGTGCATATTCAAATCATTGGGTCTTGCACTCAAGAAAAAATCTAGCCCTTTTTGCTAACTTCAACCCTATTTTTAACGCAAATTCGTGTAACTTAATCAAACCTTGGTCCAACTTTCTTGAGCCCACGCATCATCCACCAAGAATGATGTTTAATCAAACTATGCACATACCCACACCCATGTC